GGCCTTCCAAAGGTTAAACGTGCCATTTCTTCATTCAATCAGCTGAAATCAGCTGAAAGACGTTCCGAGTCAACCGGAGAAACCGGATGACTGCAAATCTCTGTATTTAATGCATGCGTAAGCGGTTTAAAGATGTTTTAATTGTAATTTCTTAATTAATTAGTAATGATTATGATGAATAGATTAGTTGATTTTGAATGTGTCATAATAATTATTGTTGCGCATGTTCTGTTTGTTTAGCAGTCCCAATTTAGTGCTGATTAACGTCATTTGAAATTTAGTGCTGATTAACGTCATTTGAAACACTTTAAAGACCTTGAAAACATCTTTGTAATGAATTATTTTAATTGTACGTTTCGTTTAACGTTTGGTTTGCGGTCTTTTTATTGAGTACTTTTGTAAGATTCGGGGTAATTTTTATGCAGTTGAAAGGACATTGGGACCGTTCATAAATATATCATGAATGACTTTCGGTTTTCCCTTCAATCAATTTCAGTAAGTTAAAACTTAACTGGTTTAACTTATATTCATAACGAAGTTGTCATTATCTTCCATTATTTTTTACTCTGTGATATTTATTTACGTTTACAGGATTTTTTTATAATGCTATCAATATTCTCATGCAATCTTCTTTGGTTTTTAATTGTTGTTGATAAAATATTTATGAACTGAAGTGAATCAACTTGTGATGGTTATTATGCGGTTAAAAGATTGTTTTTACTCTATTATAAAAGTGGTGTGTGTAAATAGTAATGATTTGAATGTGTGTTAAGAAAGATTTTAATTAATAAGGATGAATAATAAAAACTTGTGTTGTGTTACATGGAAATGTCATTTGACGATTTTCAGCCAATGGAATTTTTGGTGGATTGGAATTTAGGATTTAGGGAAAGGGCAAAAGATTGCATTGATCGATCCAGTTGAGCAGGGTAACTTCTGTATATTCAGCATTCAGCTTTTTATCAGGAAGGCCATAAATATCGTTCTACACAATTATCAAACTTTCAGTAGCACTTCACGCTTCCGCAGATCAAATAATCCTTCTCGGGTGACTGAATAATCCTCCGGGTGGTCGCTGTTTCCGGTAATTGACTGTTTGCTTATTGACCACCAATCAATTCACAAAGGCTTATTCTTTTTTTTTACCCACTCGTATCATATCATTTCATTTGCCTTTTTTTTTTCAAATTCCAATCAGTCTGTCGAAAAAAAAAACGCTTCATTTCGCTAGAGCTTTGATCATTTTTTGAAGAAGATAGAAAAAACATGGACGAAAAAGTTGACGAAGAAACACTTCGTATGGAACAACAATTCTTAAGAGTGACAGCAAGACATTGATAAATAATTCACTAATTGTTCCGTATTCATCACACCTGTCTCTCGTTGATCTTCAAGTACACACACACACAATTAACCGATCGATTGAACAGTGAACATCTATCTCTCAATTTCTGAACTCATCCAATGTTTTGCATCCCTTCATTAGATCTCTACTGACCGAACGAACTGCTCTGCTCATCATTTACTCTTGCAGAAGCTTTTAACTTGCTCTTTTGAGCACCAACCCATTCTCCTTCTCATACTTAACGGCACACCAATCACCAAACACGGTAACCATATAACGTTTGATTTCTTTGCTCACTGATAACGATATGGTTTGTGAACTCTAATAATTTCTATTTCGGTTGATGTGAATTTGCATTCGTTTGCTAAGCAAGCTTCATGCTGCTCGAAGGTAATGTTCTTTCGGTTTGTTCACTATGAGCAGTTATCATTTCAGCAATTATTCGACTGAAAGTCGGTACATTCTATGTGAAATAATGTTGATCGTGATAACATTGAACTTGATTGATGAAATGATAAAGCGCACGTGATAGCAAAAAGCCATTGAAGTGTTTTTGTGATCACCCTCGCTGATACGATACAGCAACAACCATTCCGTGACACCTAAAACCCGTCTGCCTGCACACGTGCTGTAAACACCTGCACCGACAGTCTCATTGCGTACGTATTGTGGCTTGAACCTGAGCTTCACATGTCCGCTTTCGCTCAACCCAGTCAGTTAACTTGGCCTATGATTCGTAATTTTCANGTGGGTTAAGCATGCTGTAAATGGATGGTTTGTTTAGCTTGTTAGCGATCGTCTGTTGACTGATCCGATTGCTGTCATCAGAAAGAAGTAATGCGTAGGTCATTGATCCGTTAAACGTCTAAATTTTATGACGATCGTTTCGAAACAGCAACCCTTTTTTACCGATAACTTTAATGGTGTGACATTTTAGATTATAAATAGAATATTGATAATAACTGGTGTTATCTGCATGAATAATCCTCAAGAAAAAATAACTTATGAGCAACTGATGAACTTTTACCTGGTCTGCGTTCGGCGCAAAATGATGAAATGAACATGTTTCGTTGTCAACTTTGAGATGTCAATTAAAATTCACGGTTATGAAATAGACTTTTGATGTGATTTCATTGCGATTCAATTGAGTATTTTCATTTCGAGAACGTAAAAACGAGTTTATTCTGTCAATGTATAATCGGTGGCTGGCATAAATAAGTGTGCAAATGAAATGGAAGTTAGTTGAGAATTGCACAAGAATCTTTTTAATGATGATGTTAAACTGCACTTGATGCGTTTCGCGAAATAGTCAAAAACTTGATTTTTGGTTAGATTTGTGTGGTCGAGCATCCATTAAGAGTACATTTTATTGGATTGTAATCATTTGGAAAACACTCGAAGCAATTAACTTGTCAGTCAGTGATCGTTTGATGGAATACTGCGCACATAAATCACACAGCTTTTTGCACGATAACGTTTCGTATTGATGCAAACGATCGATCCTTTTATCAGATTACAAATTCTCTTCGAGTCACCTACTCGATCAATTGATTTTCGGTCTTCAATTCCTGATCACCTATACATTTCTGATGTTGTTGGTTATGTGTTTGTATTTCATTTGTTTTTGGACGTGATTTTTGGTGTTTTCTTGGACATCTTCTGCATACATTTGTGACGATGCAGTAGAATATTGCCAGCCGATTATAAAATTCATCGATTAAAATATTTCTAATTTCGCAAATACATTCTTTCAATGGCATTCCTCTTATCTTATCGGTCTCTTCATCATTGCAAATGCCACTTCCCATTCCAACCCTTTGTATGAATCACGAACTTGATCACCGAACAGTCGAATTACAACCAAGCCTATAAATATTCACAGCACAGTTCACACGTATCATAAGCCTGCCAACTATTGGTCTGTGTCTTTGTGTATTGTACAGTAAAGTCAGTCTACTCCAATCCACACCAGTTCAAATCGTTGTTTTTCGCTTGTGATACTCTCCAGCTGGTACCGTAAACGTTCACATTTTTGTAAACTCGTTCCTGATTGTGTCTGTTCTGCATTCGAGTGACCACATCTGATAATAGACACCGCAATGGTTAAAATTCTTTACAACAGGTATTCATTCAATAAGTTTGTCTCTTGCTAGCAGACGATCCATTGAGTTGTTTCAGTTGATATGAAATGATCGAAGCATGTTGTGCCCAGCACATGAATAGATATCAGCTAATCTCATATTATTCCAGTCGTCATATTTATTGCCCATTCATTCTTCTCATTGCAACTAATTATCGAACGTCAGATATACACGCAATCGAGAGATGAGTCGTCGTCGTTGTGGAGTCACCTACAATGTGAATCAAACGGGTATTGGTCGTATTATTTTTAACGAGGATCGCTCTAAATTCCAGGTTATCAATCGATGCCATTCACTGGAATATTTGACTGCCATATTTACACGATGATTCAGATGTTATTGTGAACACTTTAAGGGATTACTGGTGAACGATGATGGCGAATGTATATCGTTTAATGGTAGTGCAATCCCTGGAACTGATGATCCGACAACGAGTCTGATGAATATTACTGTTATCGATGGCGAGACTGGCGACCAGTTTGGGGTTGCGTTAATTCTGTCATTCTTTTTCTTATTTCCTGCATATGATTCTAAACAAGACTTTGAATGTTTCCTCAATAAGAATAAACTGCCTGCAGTTTGTTTTGTAAGCTCGAACTGATTGCAATTGTAATTCAGATCCACGGTGTTGCCGTTAATTTCGCACCGAACCCGAACCCGATATCGTCCAATTTCTTTGTCACCATCAACTCTCAACACATCAAGTTCACCACCACCGATGTTCTCTTCGGCAATCGGTTTGTATTTCTCAATCTTGAACTCTACCTATGCATCCTTCTAACAATTATCTTTTCTTTTTTTTTTCATTATTCGCTTTCAGTGATTATTTATGTGCGTCGTTTGTTTGAATTCTTTAGATGTTTTGAAATATTCTTTTGATTCATTACGAAATACGTTATCATTCAACTTCTTTCCTTTTATCAGTATCCCGCATTCATCTTGAAACGTTTCGCATTCATTGAGTCATCGTTTCCTTGTTTCTTATCTGCTGCTCTCTTTAGCCGTCATGTGTTCAGATAAAGATGCTTGATCCTGTTCCTCTTCGAACAAGCGTAACTCTTACCGTACACAAAAATGAATGAATCCCTATCTCGAATAGTTCGGTCATTCATTTAATTTGTTCATAACAAACAGTTTCGTTTTTTGAAATTGCAGTTTTGTTGCACGTTTGAATTTGGTTTGTTCGGTGTTGTTCATTTGATCGAGTGTCTGAGGTGCTTGCGTTTTAGATTCATTCTTTGATCATTTATCACACAGATATATATCTGTTTAATTAATCAAAGGAACAAGGAACACGATCACGTGGAGGAAAAAAGAAAATTATATTCGTTGTTAACGTTTGATAAGTGTAATTAATACTGATTGGAATAGAAGAAATTTTATTTTTATCAGAAAAAAAGGATGATATAATACTGTGATTTTTGATGCGTTTGTTTGGTGCGTGCAAAATGAGTTTCAAGTTTTCAGCTGCTTGTTATGGGTAGTTTTGGTATTCAGCGAATAATGAGTGTATCTCTGCTGCATTCAGAATGCACGTTTAGTGGACGAAATTAAGTGATGTTGATGGTTGTTCAATTGCAGGGCAGATGTCGAAATCCGTAAGTTTATGGACCCGAGAAAGGTGGAATGCGGAAGTAAGGTGCATTTGGGTGAGATGAGCATCCATCTGACAGCCAACCACCGAATCAAACCGTCGATACGTCGTGAGAGTGTTTGTGACAACTGCAATTCAGCCATTCTCGAGATGTCTGATGACTTTCTCGCATGAATAATCGCATCATGGTGCACACCTGTAGCCGTACTCGCTTTACTGTCCTGGCAAAGTCACAAATTGAAGACAGTCACATTCAGCGAGGGGCATTTAATGCTAATTGAGGAGCCATTCCATGCTTTCTTGTCAAAAAATGTCCTCAAGAATGAGAGGACAGGGGTGAGGTGAGGGGGGGGGAGGGGGGGGGAGGAGAGGTTGGGTTGCAGAGGGCATTTCTCTTCACCGGTTGCGGGTTCCATGCTGCATTTATACATAAATGTATGTAAAAATTGTATCATTAAACCTTGAACATACCCATGTGTGTTTCATTTCTATAAATTTTGTTTCGAATTTTACTCAACTTTCCCAATCTGATTGTAATAATAATGTTTTCACTTGATTTGACCATATTGAACTGTTCGTTCATACTGTATTATGTGATAGATAAGATATATCCATCAAAAACGCTTCATCTCATATGCAATTTTAATTTCTTTTCATTTATAATATTATTGGTTCATTTATAATTTTCATTTGTAATATAATGATTACTGTACGATTTGTTAACAGAATTTATTTATTTGTAATTGAGTTGTTGTTTCAAGACAGATTAACGTTTATCGTTTGTTTATATCTCATTTCTGCATAAACTGCTACATCTCCAATGGTACACTCGACACAGAACATCTCAATTTGTCGAGTAAACCGTAAAAGTCAAGGACACAGAGGTTCGGAAAGAAATCTTGCAGTCATCTTCAAAAGAAAATAGACCCTTATGATGGAACAAACAATGAAACACACAAAATCTGCCTGGTAACAAAACACTTCAGGAAATCGACCGTCACTGTATCAAATGTCACTGCATTATCTTCTCAAGTGCAATTGAAACAGTAGATTCGAGACTTAATCGCTTGCGATGATAATAGTCTGAAGGTATCATTCAAGTCTAGTGCATCGCTCTAGTGCATTCCCAACCTGATCTTAGGCACGATTCATTAATTTCTATGTTGTACTGCACATGAATGGCACGCTTTTGAAACGCTCTTAATTCACACCAGAGAATATCACAAAACATGAACTGGCCCATCTACTTCGATTCCAAGCGAGGTGACTGTTGCGAATCGTCGTCGATGAGTTTGTGGCAATCGACGCAAATCACATCACAACTATAATCATCTGTTTATTCCGATATTTGTAATAAAACGTGCAGTTTTATTTGTCAAAATTTTTTGTGTCGGGTTCCACGTAATTGCGTATTTTCATTTCCCTTAAATGGGTCATCGCAATTTGCACGATGTGCTTGTTGTTACACTGTTTAGATGTTACCATTATTTTATGATTTTTAACGGTTCATTCAGGAACGAATCTGCTTAGTGGTGGTGGTAAGGGCCATTCGCTGATACTCCATCCATATGTCTGATATTTCATCGGAATCGTCAGGCGCATCAGAACCACCCAGCCCTGCTCGGCACTTCCATCCGGCCGGTGACAAGTCAGCATGGTCACAACAAACCAATTTCGAACGGTTAATCTCACTGATTGTCATTTGCAGTTAGGCTTTGGTTGAGCACTGGTGCTGCTTTCTGTAGTGTACGCATGAACAGAATGAGATTTGTGCAATTTCAGATTCATTTGGCTATTGAAGATTCCGTTTCGAACGATTCTCTGCCTGTCGAATATAACGGCATTTTTTGTTGCGTACTTCGGCTTCATGATACCCATTCTGTGGGCTAGAGCAGCTTGGTTAGTTGTCACTTGTTACGTTCGGTTGTTGGTCAGATCATTATCAGTTAGGCGTTGAATCGGTCTTGATTTAATTGCTACTCAAATGACATTTTTAGAGAATTCTCTCTAACAGCGATCAGTCTTTCAGGCCACGTTTATATTGGTTTTACGAGGGCAAATTATACAGATGGTTACAAGCATTCATCGGTTATTGGGGTTACACGGCTGGATATGATGGTATGTTTGATTTACTGTCATCACTTGGAATGAGCGGTGTGGGGTGGTCGTAACTGTAGGTGCTGATTTCAGTGTATGAATATGGCGATGATGTGAGTCATTACTCGGAGGACGAACGTGTTCTCGTGATGTGCAATCATCAGAGCACTGCTGATGTGCCAACCTTAATGGCTGTGCTACAGAGTAAGAAAGTGGCAAGTCGAAAGGTTCGTGTATCTTTATCGACATTAAATATTGGCCTTCATTATGAAGTACTTTGAGTTGTATGCAAATTGAAGACTCTGTGGCTGATGGACGTGATGTTTCGGTGGACACCGTTCGGTATAATTGGTGCGATGCATGGTGATTACTTCATAAAACAAGGAAAAGCGACTCGAGAGAAGGAGCTGCTACGGCTGAAAGAGCACTTGAGGAAGGTGTTCTGGGACAGAGACCGACGTTGGGTGATTCTCTTCCCTGAAGGAGGATTCTACTACAATCGAATCGCGAGCAGTCAGAGGTATCAGTTGATTGCTGGAATATAGATTATGCCTCGAGTATCACTCAGCAAAAGTGAATCTGACCCAAACATTTTCAGATATGGTCGAGAACACGGATTTCCACATTTGGAACATGTGACACTGCCGCGGCAAGGTGCCGTCAAGGCGATTCTCGAGGAGATTGGACCTCGAGAGGAGCACGAAACTGATGGAATGATCGATTCGAAGAGGGGCAGTCGACTGAAACTCATCAAAGACACGGTGGGCGCGATTCGTGAGAAGAAATACATCAAAGGTTGGTCGTTTTTCGAGTGGAATTATTTCGTTTCTCATTGCTTATTAAAAGTGTGTACTTCTCTCAGTGTTCGATAACGTTCTGCATTCAGTATCTGTGCAATCACGACAAAGCTCATTCATTCCATCTATAGCTCTCCCTCTTGAGCGTCAATGTATCAACATTTATGTTTTAATTGTCTGATTTTAATTGATTTTTCGTGAAACATATCATCACTACATCGCATTCGTTCAATCTGATCGATTCACAATTTTTATTCATTAGTTCATACTTGAAATATGGTAATTCAAGCGATTATTTCATCATAATGTTAAAAAGCATTATCGCTTCGAACTGCTCTTGTCTTTACTATACGTTTTTGCAGCAGTTCTTCTAAGCACTAACAATATCAACATCATAATAAGAACATAGTACTGTATCGTAAAAAAACCAACATTAACGATTCATATGTTATACATCAATTTCTCATATAATATATATATACTGCATTCACCCGAGAAAAGGGCGGAATGAGCAGAAATTGTTCGAATGTAAGAAGCATCGTTTAGTACGAAACAACTGTTATTTCTTCTTCCCGTAAAGCTATCCAGAGAGAGATCTAATCAAAATAACCTCAGTGAATAATCAGTTGCGTTTCTTTGGGTACACCATATTTAGCTTTGTGTTCCTCAAATAGATCAATAAGTGCTGTGATGTATTTTTTGTGCAGGACATCCACCTGCTCATCGGTTGGATCCGGTGTCTTCTGCACCGCAATCGGTGCTCCAATAACCGAGTTGATCGGATGTCTGTAAGGTAGATTCCAGTAAATGAGCAAAACGTTTCAATATTGCATTTGATTGTTAACAACTCAAGGGAATAGTATATGTACCTGTATGGCCAAATACCAAAGTTATAATTGAAGATACCACGACCATGAGCTATTGGTGTCGAGAATCCGAGCACTCGTTTGATGCGTTGTTGTATTAGACGTGTTTTCGAGCCAACCGGATTGCTCACCTGCAACTTTTGTAGCATCATCACCATCCATCGTATTGCAATGAACCGTTTCATTGAAACGACATTCCAACCCGAGATATTCCATGTCGGCTAAGCTATATAAATTTCATTACGATCGTCTCACCTGATCGAAGAGTTCATTCTCACCGAACGAATACATCGGTACCAAATGCGCACCAGTCTTGAGTGCTATTCGAACGAAACCCTTGCGTGACTTCAGTGTTAGAATGTGCTTGCCCGGATGTGCATCCAGCGCCTCTTCAGCTCCTCCTTAAGTTCACATTAATTAAATGCATCTTGCAAAAAGTCATTTCTCCAGAACGTTGATTTTAAAAGTGAATGAATTTATGACTTATTCATCATTGTTACCTCAACTTTTCATATGTATTCTTAATCGTAATGTTGGTGTATGTGCAAGCACAATTCAGTCATAGTGCTATTTAGTTGAGGAATTTATAAGAGAATGAAAGATCATCTGAACTGAGCACAATTCATGCATAACTCAGAACAAACCAACAACTAAACCGACGATATTGTTCTTCGTTCGGTCGATATCGAGTAGATACTGCAAACTGTCCTTGCTACAGTCCACCAAACCACTCAACATTCCGAACTCTCTCCTCAACGGTGTGTAGAATTGCGCCGTTAAGGTGCACAGTCGTATTTGCATTGAAGGAAACATCTCGAAAATGCCATTCGCATTCGTAGTGAAGTTGACGTACGTTCCTATGGCGATTATTCCGTGCGGATGTGCACCAATCAAGTAATTCTGAAGATTCGTGAGCCAATGCAAAATCAGCCGTTTAGTTCGAAAGATCGCGCATTCAAAATTAGCTGAATTGTGAATGTTCACTCACATGACCCAATGGAAAATCAGCAGTTTTATGCAGTTTGATAGGGAAATAATTGGCCATATAATTGTGAATGCGTTGTGTTCGCCACCATTTTGATGGGTATCCTCCACGCCGAGGTGACTCGCGATCGTAGTAAACCCATACTGCATACAACACAACTATTGGCCACAAGCAGGTGAACAACTGCAATCGATCAGTAGTCATTTATCATTGCATAACTCAAAACCAATATCAGTCTATTCGACATGGAAGAGACCCACCAAATAAATGGGCATAATCACGACCAAAAATGGAATGATGAAAGCCATCGACACATGATAACACATCGCTAGTGTCTGTAGACGACGCTCCAGCGAGACATTCAACGGTGCCAATTCAATTCCCAAAAGACGTGTCATATTTCAGTGCGATTGCGCTTATCTTGTTTTTCTGAAATCATGAACCTGAACGATCAGGCATTCATAGATAAATAGTAGGCATCGATCGATTGCAATTCGTTTGTTTCTGAAATTTCGGCATACCCAAACAGATTCTCTTACGAAAGTTACACTGAGAGTTTTGTTTTATGCTCACAGTATGAAGAAACGAGGCGATTTAACGTCACGAAAACATTATCAGTGTTTACATGTATTCTCACATGATCGCGTTGAGGAATGGTGAATGTGTAAATAATATCTTATGTAACATTCCTCGCAAAAACACTGCATTAGAAGATTTGAAAGCAAACTTGTTGGGCAGCGAAAAGGGGTGTTAGCGATTCGTGAAAACGCTTTCGACGAATCAGTTTAGTTCAGAGCTCGCAAAACGTCAAGAATCAGTGAAGAGCACATCTGAATGTCTTTACAGGAGTAAGAAGAATGTGCATTCATTTAGCGAAAAAGGATTATGGACTGGGTTATATTGTAATGAAACGCACACGATTGGTAATTGGTATGATCACATGCGAGCACTCCATGAACTGTTACGTATACACTGAGCAGAATCACGAGCTATTCAAATAAAACAGAAATGATAGTCGAGAGTGATGCTCGAAGGTTTGCTTGAGCAGTAAAATAATGGCCAGAAAGCAACAATCATCTGCCACTAATGAAAAAAATCTGTAGCCACAAAAATCATCACTGCCACGTAGCTAATGAACGTGCTGTTTCGAAGTGTCAACCTTTAATATGACGAAGTACAACGAGAATCCAGGCATCGATCCGTGAACATCAACCACCACTGTGTCAACAACAACAACAACAACCGCGCTCAATGCGAGAATAAAACTGCAATCTCTCATCTGTTCACTTATCTCTCACTCTTTCAACTTCTGGACCTATTGACAAAATTCACTTGCTACATCGATCAATGCGTTTTGATCAGCCGTTCTATGCTGCTAAATGATCAGGCCGATATGAACAAATAAAAATACTGACTGCTACAGTTCACTGTTTACTCTAGAACCTTATCATTCACTCTGATAAGAGCTCAGGTGTATTACATCATTATCGTCCGGTGTTTCTCATTGAGCATTGAACAAAGTATTCGTGTTCCATATGCAGAGTAGTGTAAGCAGAGAGTGAAACTCAAGTAGAAACGGATCACAACTCGATAAGTTTCGATTCATGGAAAATGTCGTTGTATAAAACGAGCATATTTAATAAATGTTTGTCGAAAGATTGTTTTGTGTATGCCCACAAAACGAGCCAATCAAGCGCTGATAAGCATTTGTTTTTTGTTTGTGTTTGCAACAAGCGCACTGGACTTTGACCGGGTGAGTACATTGGACTTTGACTCGATGAGTGCGATTGATCGTTAAGATTTGTTGAGCAGAGAGTGGAATTAGTCAAACAGATCATTGAAACTTTAATTGTTCTTTGTGGTTGTTCTTTGACGTTGCTTATATCTTGAATGGATACTCAGCTTGAGAATCATTTTTCGATGAGGTGAAACTTGAGGTTAATATTGAGGTGAAACTGAAATTTTCAAAAGGTTGATATGAAGCACTTCAATTTGGTGTGTACGAAACGTATGGAAAGCAAGGAATAATAAGCGAGACAAACTTGAAGCAGATTGATTTCAGTGACACGACCTCCGATCAAGTATGTACTGGATGTGACGATTGCTTATCCGTGCGCAATGCCGTTGAGTTTAGCGACATTGAGTATCGGAACTCGTGAGAAGTGCGATATCGCTGTCAATTACAAGATTTACGACGCCAAGGAGGTGAATATCTCAATTTTTTGAAATATTCACATTTCGTTCACTTTGCTTTTTGTGCTTCTGGTTTCGATTCATTCGTATGAATAAAGTTGGAGGTCATTCAAAACCTACATTTCATTTCAGGTTCCATTCCACGATGAGGAGCAACTGAGAGATTGGATGTATCGAGTTTACAAGGAAAAAGATGAGATGCTCGGTGTGTTAATTCAATTCATTTCTGCTTATTTATTTTGTTTTCCGCATTTCAACTGAACAGTGATTGAGATCAATAAAAGAGAATAAGAGTACGCCGATTCATTGAGTGTTCATTCAATTTGTGTGGACGTGAACGATGTTCACTATCGAATAGTCATTAGTTGCGTGTTGTTTTCGCTGTGCGCTGTTGACATTGAATAAGTGGGGTTAGTTGTGGTAACTGTATGAAACTTGCAGCGACGTATTATTCGGAAGGAGTGTTTGTGCAGGGTGAACAAGGTACTCGAGTGTATTTCCCGTGGTGGAAGATTATTGGCCAGTACGCTTTCTGGTTTACATCTCTCTATGTTCAGTATCGTTTATATTCCTACATTGTTTTATGGCCTTTCCGTTTGTTCGGGCTTATTGCTTGGTAGATTGTTAATGTGATGGTAGTGCAGTCAACTGGTGTCATTTTAATCGGGATTCGATAGATTCGCAGTTCCTTTCTCGTTGGGTACTGGAAAGCAATGCTGTCTCATAGTCATTATCTCTGATTTTGTTTATGCGGTTATTTACAATCGTCTTTTGTGAACTAATCTAATCTCATTTGATCAGCCAGCTATTGAGATTACCTTTCATTTGTTGGTGTATAATTTGCACTAGTTTGTTGTCTCGTGAATTTCTTTGATCACGTTTCCTTCATTAAACACTTTATTGTGTTGATGGAAGTCGGTTGAGAGTGAGAAGCAGAAATTCTCTCACTCGTTGAGCTTTTCGATTAGTTTTTTTACTTGAGATGAATGCACCGGTGAATTATTGGTTTGTGTCTTGTGCTTCTAGCTTTAAAATTTTGTCTTTTCATTGCCAAATTAATTTAGAGACAATTTCGCTTGTTTATCGAAAGGTGCGTACAGTTCTAGACTCTCCTACAACTTCGCTTTCATTTCATTTCTTACCTTCCAGATCTATTCGCTTTGATTTCCTAACCGCACCAATTTGTTATTGTTTGTTAGTTTCATTTTATTGTTCTTCCAGCCGAGTTGTAGGATGAATGTTCAATGTAAATGCAAAAATTAATACAAGCAGCATAATATATCAGTAATATTCCCTTCTTTTTGCTTATTCCTCGAATTGATCAGTGAGTAATCTGGCTACAAGGTCATTCTTTTGTCTTACCACCTTTATCTGAACGGTTGTCATCAAAATGTTTTAATAATGGATACGGCTAAATCGCTAAGGATTTACACTTGAATCTGTGAGCGTACATTTATGTTTGTGTGTATATTTATCTCATTTATTAAGTGTTGTTTATTCTCGTTGATTAATTCAGTCATTTCAACTGAATTCATTTTTTT